GAATGAACAAAAAAAAAACAAAAAAAACACAGAGACAGAAGCTCCTCAGATTCTGACACGAGAACGAACAATCTCACACAACCCGAGTCTGTCCTAGTTTAGAATCACCTTCCTCCCTCCTCCTCCTCTTCCTCCTCACGAGTGTAAATCTGCAGACTCTTCAGAGGCACGTGCTCCTTCACTGCATCAGCGCCTTTGTGCTTTTGAGCCGCGCACTGCCCCCTGGTGGACGCTCGCTCACATTCTGTCAGACCTGAGTCCAGCTCCAGAGCCACATCCAGCTCTTTGTCTCACTCTGATCATCTTGTTTAAGCTCATTTAGAATAAAAAAAAATAAACAGATTTTATCATTTTACCCAAATCTTCGACTAAATCTGCGTCACTTTTATTTTAGACGTGTTTTTTTAATGACATTTTTTGTTCGTCAGCTTCATTTTTTCATTGCTGAGTCAGAACAGAAACTCTTCCCAGTCTGAGCAGCTCCACAAAACAATTATATTTACAAAAAATACAATTAATATTATTCAGAACTGAGTTAAACATTTTCCCCTCCACAGTATTTTCTGTTTCTAATCGAAAAAAAATACCGGCCCGTCCAACCAAGGTTTATGTAGTGACACAAAGTGAAATGAGACAAACATCTGAACAAAACAGACGTGGACTTTTGTGTTTTGTTTCATTCATGTTTATATGATGATGAAAAAGTGATCTTTACTTTTTATTCCGCGTTTAGACGAGTGTTTTCAGGAGGAAATCTGCTGCTCACGGTGACGCAAAAGTGTGTGGATTTCCTGAAAACTCTCGTCCAAACGCGGAATAAAAAGTGAAGAAGCGACGCCACATTTGTGTTTTAAAAATAAAATATTTAGTCGTTTTGAACGTTTGAGGGAACATTCATGAGGGAATGTTCTCTGAATGATTAGTCTGAACGCAGAGTAACTCTTTATTATTAGTCTGTTTACATCTCCAAACCTCAAAACGCTCCGCTCCACCTTGTGATGTCATCAAGTGGTAGTTTTCAGTTAGCAGCTGCTTACTTTTCACCTTTTTATACGGCAGAGTTTGGGCAAGTCCAGGTCTGAAATGATCCAAGTGTTTCTAGTGAAGGTGTGTGGAGTTTAAAAACACACTGGAGCACTTCCTGTATCACCACATGATGACATCACAAGGTGGAGCAGAGCGTTTACAGTGCAGGGTTTGTGTGTTAAACATCAGTGTTGGGAAGGTGACTTTTAAAATGTAATCCCCTACAGATTACAGATTACATACGACAAAATGTAGTTTGTAACAGAATCCATTAAATTACTTTAGGTGAGTAATGTAATCTGATTACTCTGGATTACTTGATTTGCTGTAGAGAAACAAAGACGAGGAAATCTTCACATAAGAAGTTTTGTCTGATAAAAGAAAATAAAAAGTCCAGATTTTACTGAACCAAATTAAAAAATATTATTGATAGAAGAAGAAGAAACACGTCCACACAGCAGGATTTAGACCTGGTTTAGACCTGGTTTAGACCTGGTTTAGTCCTGGTTTAGATCTAGTTTAGACCTGGTTTAGTCCTGGTTTAGACCTGGTTTAGTCCTGGTTTAGTCCTGGTTTAGTCCTGGTTTAGACCTGGTTTAGTCCTGGTTTAGATCTAGTTTAGACCTGGTTTAGTCCTGGTTTAGACCTGGTTTAGATCTGGTTCAGATCTAGACTAGTTTAGACCTGGTTTTAGACCTGGTTTTAGTCCTGTTTTAGTCCTGTTTTAGACCTGTTTTAGTCCTGTTTTAGTCCTGGTTTAGACCTGGTTTAGACCTGGTTTAGACCTGGTTTAGACCTAGTTTAGTTTAGACCTGGTTTAGTCCTGGTTTAGACCTGGTTTAGTCCTGGTTTAGATCTAGTTTAGACCTGGTTTAGTCCTGGTTTAGACCTGGTTTAGTCCTGGTTTAGTCCTGGTTTAGTCCTGGTTTAGACCTGGTTTAGTCCTGGTTTAGATCTAGTTTAGACCTGGTTTAGTCCTGGTTTAGACCTGGTTTAGATCTGGTTCAGATCTAGACTAGTTTAGACCTGGTTTTAGACCTGGTTTTAGTCCTGTTTTAGTCCTGTTTTAGTCCTGATTTAGACCTGGTTTATGACCTGGTTTAGACCTGGTTTAGACCTAGTTTAGATCTAGTTTAGACCTGGTTTTAGACCTGGTTTTAGACCTGGTTTTAGTCCTGTTTTAGTCCTGGTTTAGACCTGGTTTAGACCTGGTTTAGACCTGGTTTAGTCCTGGTTTAGACCTGGTTTAGACCTGGTTTAGTCCTGGTTTAGACCTGGTTTAGACCTAGTTTAGTCCTGGTTTAGACCTGGTTTAGACCTGGTTTAGTCCTGGTTTAGACCTGGTTTAGACCTAGTTTAGTCCTGGTTTAGTCCTGGTTTAGATCTGGTTTAGATCTAGTTTAGACCTGGTTTAGACCTGGTTTAGATCTGGTTCAGATCTAGACTAGTTTAGACCTGGTTTTAGACCTGGTTTTAGACCTGGTTTTAGACCTGGTTTAGTCCTGGTTTAGATCTGGTTTAGATCTAGTTTAGACCTGGTTTAGTCCTGGTTTAGACCTGGTTTAGATCTGGTTCAGATCTAGACTAGTTTAGACCTGGTTTTAGACCTGGTTGTAGTCCTGTTTTAGTCCTGGTTTAGACCTGGTTTAGACCTGGTTTAGACCTAGTTTAGACCTGGTTTTAGTCCTGTTTTAGTCCTGGTTTAGACCTGTTTTTGTCCTGTTTTAGACCTGGTTTAGACCTAGTTTAGACCTAGTTTAGACATGGTTTTAGACCTGTTTTAGTCCTGTTTTAGTCCTGGTTTTAGACCTGTTTTAGTCCTGGTTTAGACCTGTTTTTGTCCTGGTTTAGACCTGTTTTAGTCCTGGTTTAGACCTAGTTTAGACCTAGTTTAGACCTGGTTTTAGACCTGTTTTTGTCCTGGTTTAGACCTGTTTTAGACCTGGTTTAGACCTGGTTTAGACCTGGTTTAGACCTGGTTTAGACCTGGTTTAGACCTAGTTTAGACCTAGTTTAGACCTGGTTTTAGACCTGGTTTTAGACCTGGTTTTAGTCCTGTTTTAGTCCTGGTTTAGACCTGGTTTAGACCTGGTTTAGACCTGGTTTAGACCTAGTTTAGACCTGTTTTAGACCTGGTTTAGACCTGGTTTAGACCTGGTTTAGACCTGGTTTTAGACCTGGTTTTAGACCTGGTTTTAGTCCTGTTTAGTCCTGTTTTAGACCTGGTTTAGTCCTGTTTTAGTCCTGGTTTAGACCTGGTTTAGACCTGTTTTAGTCCTGTTTTAGACCTGTTTTAGTCCTGTTTTAGACCTGGTTTAGTCCTGGTTTAGACCTGGTTTAGACCTGGTTTTAGTCCTGTTTTAGTCCTGTTTTAGACCTGTTTTAGTCCTGTTTTAGTCCTGGTTTAGACCTGGTTTAGACCTGGTTTAGACCTGGTTTAGACCTAGTTTAGACCTAGTTTAGACCTGGTTTTAGACCTGGTTTTAGACCTGGTTTTAGTCCTGTTTTAGTCCTGGTTTAGACCTGGTTTAGACCTGGTTTAGACCTGGTTTAGACCTAGTTTAGACCTGTTTTAGACCTGGTTTAGACCTGGTTTAGACCTGGTTTAGACCTGGTTTTAGACCTGGTTTTAGACCTGGTTTTAGTCCTGTTTTAGTCCTGTTTTAGACCTGTTTTAGTCCTGGTTTAGACCTGGTTTAGACCTGGTTTAGACCTGTTTTAGACCTGGTTTTAGACCTGGTTTTAGACCTGGTTTTAGTCCTGTTTTAGTCCTGTTTTAGTCCTGGTTTAGTCCTGGTTTAGTCCTGGTTTAAACCTGTTTTAGTCCTGTTTTAGTCCTGGTTTAGTCCTGGTTTAGTCCTGGTTTAGACCTGGTTTAGTCCTGGTTTAAACCTGTTTTAGTCCTGTTTTAGCCCAAAATGTGAAAACAGGAAAGTCCCTCTGTTTAATCCATTTATTTCAACAAAGTAACTGTAATCCAATTCCCACTCACTGAAACAGTAACTGTAACTGAACACAGTTACTCATCATTTGTACTCTGATTACTTAACTCTGGTACATGTAATCTGTTACTCCCCCACACTGTTTAAACATGTGAGTGAAACAAAAAAACACAACTCCAGGTTTGTTTGTGACGAGGAAACGACATTTAGAAAAGAAAATAGTGTAAAATGGGCTCTTAATGTTCAGTAGTTTTATAGTTTTTATATATTTTTTCTTGTTTTTTCTTGTTTTTTTAATTCTTTTGTTCGTTTTGTTCGTTCTCGCAGCAGACGGGTGTCGGGTTCAAACTACTGGAAGCGATTACAGTTGCACAACGTCCCACAGACACAGTGTTTTGAAATCATGGGTCTTGTTTTATTTCATCACTGCATATTTCTTTTCTTTTTTTTTCCGTGATGAAAGCTTCTGGAGTTGTTTACAGTTTACACGTTTAACAGAATCCTGCTTCTATCGCAAATCAAATCACAAAACAAAAAAGATTTAAACCCAAATAAATAAAACGATCAAATATTTGGCAGAAAATTAAAACATGTAAAAGTTCGTTGTGTAACTTTTCTGCTGGAGGATCCAAGAGATGCTTTTTTTTTATTTTTTTGTTATGGCTTTGTCTGGAATGTTCCTCAGTGTGGCTTTTAAACTTTTCTATCTCCATGGAGACCAAACCAGACAGAGTGACAGGTCAGATCTGTGGAGAGGCGACGCCGCTCACAGTCACAGTGTTTGTTTTTTGAGGTGTTTTTGAGCCGTAAAACCACCTGTGATTGAATAAATGTTGAATAAATCTGTTTAAAGTCACACTGTGGGACATTCCAGGCAGAGCAGTGATGTATCCATAGAAACAGGCAGGTGCTGGACCCACACCCAGAAAGTTACACAGTGCAGCTTTAACGTTCCGCTCTCTGTGTTCTCGTCGTCTGCGCTCGTGTCAGGTTCTGTTCTCACGTTTGTTGTTTGTTGTCTTGTGTTTTCAGATCTTGTTCCTCTCACTGGTTCCCTGAAGCGGCCCCCGGGCTCCCAGCATGCACCTGGACACCTGCGGGTCCTGCACAGCCCCCTGACCTCCGGCCTCAACCCGGAGGGGATCTACGTGTGAGGGGCAGGAGTCCGAGTCTGAGTCCGAGTCCGGTCTGAGTCCGAGTCCGAGTCTGGTCTGAACTCAACCAAAACCTGAAGGACACGAGGATGCAGTTACCTCACTACACAACTATGCACTGATGCTGTGGGAGTCTGAGACCGAGTCTGAGACCGAGTCTGAGACCGAGTCTGAGACCGAGTCTGAGACCGAGTCTGAGACCGAGGCTGAGACCGAGGCTGAGACCGAGGCTGAGACCGAGGCTGGGTCTGGGCTGAGGCTGAGTCTGGGCTGAGTCCAGGTTCAATCCGAGTCTGAGGCTGAGTTCAAACTGAGTTCGAGCTGAGGCTTAGTCTGGGTCTGACCTGAGTCGACTCTAAACTTAGACTGAGCTGGGTCTAAGTCCCATTCCAAGTCTGAATTTAGTCTGAATTTAGTCTGAATTTATTCGGAACTTAGTCCGAACTTAGTCCGAATTTAGTCCGAACTTGGGCTGAGTTTGGGCTGAGTCTCAGTCCCAGTCTCAATCTCAGTCTGGGTCTGAGTCTGGGTCTGGGTCTGAGTCTGGGTCTAGTCTGAGTCTGGGTCTGAGTCTGGGTCTAGTCTGGGTCTGGATCAGCCTGAAGCACTTTTGAGACAGAAGTTGATGTAAACAGATCAGGCGTAGCACCAAAACCACTGATGAGAACAAAGAAAACAGATGAGAGATTTTATCTCTGGACCTGAACAAACTTCACTCCAGATTTTCTCAAATCTGTCGCCTCCTGCTCCAGGTTTTTACCCCGGTGACGGTTTAAGAAGCTCAAACATGGAGATGTTCTGCTCATGTTTCTGAAACTAATGTGCAATGTTCTCATTCTTTTATTTCAAATACAGAGGACAAAATAACCTTGGTTTGCCTGGAATGTTCCACAGTACGACTTTAAACATTTCCATCTCACATTTATTCATCACAGGAGTTTCTGTTACTCAAAAATACAATAATTCCTCTCCACAGATCTGACCTGTAACGTAGCGTAGAGGTTTAATCTTTACTGCGGAACATTCCAGACAAAACAACAACATCTCCACGGCGACGAGCAGACGAGTACATCGTATTTCTCGAGTTTGTTGTCGGTGTTACGCCTGATCTGGACTTGTTTCACTGCAGTATTTCCGTGCGCACGTTTCGACAGCACATTTTTCACTACGAAGTCTGTAACTTTAACCCACGCGATATTTGCATCGTCGTCGAATATTTTATGCTCCGCCGATCGTTTTCGAATCAACTGCATCTTAAAACTCTGCGATGGCCTTTTTAAAAAAACGTTTCGGTGCGTGACATTATTACGAATGATTCTGACGTTACGACATTTGCATCGTCTCCAGTGATTCTGCAGCATCGTGTCGAGCCTGAAGACGAATGAAGGAACCGATAATAATCTACGTTTTTTAAGCTCTTTTTTTTTTTTTTTTTTTGCATTAAACGCGTCCGTAGCTCTTCGTTTCCAACTATGCACAGGTGGAATTGCGGAATGTTTCTCGTCTTCGTGCGTTCGTGTAAATAACTTTTCTTAATCCAAGCTTTATTTTGAGGATATTCTATTTTATTACCCAGAGGTTTCGCGGTTTTCGGTCGCAGAAACGCGGGATCCGATTCCCTGTACAGTGTTGGAACAGAGGCTTTGCACCGTCACGTGTCGCCCATGGCAACGGTACCTACGCCGCCATGACACCGGGAACGCTATGTCATTGACTTCAGCAGCGTCGGAGAAACGTGGGCAGGTTTTGTTGTGTATTTGGTTGTTCTAGACGCTCTGAAAGAGATAAAACGAATCGATTCTTCACTGTTCCTCTGGAAATGACTCATCAGGATCAAACAAGGGAATTATCGACAAAACAGACAGGAATTATGGCTCGAGAACATAAACCGCGAAGAGATTTCCAGTGTTACCATCAAGACACCCGAAGTTTCATCAAGGTATTTGCTATTTAAATAGTTTCATAGTTTATTTAATGGGAGAAGCACATTTACTGAACTAAAATGTAAAAAAAAAACCATTTGCAGTGTGAGTGGCAGTAGAAACTGGATCTTCCAGCACATATAAACATGTCACTCGTCGTAGGATCCATGTTTTCTTTATTGTCTTGTTTATCCACAACTGTGTCTTCTTGAATTAATCTCTTTTTGTGAGTGGATCTTTCTAACGTTGGCGAGGATCTTTTCATGGTCGATTCTTTCGAGGTTCGGCTCACAGACTCTTCGACTCGTGCCAGTGTGGGTTCGTTGAATCGTAAACTAGTGCAGGTTTTCCTGGATAAATTAATGACATTTTAGTTCAGTAAATGTGCTTCTTTCATTAAATAAGCTATGAAACTATTTAAATAGTAAATACTTCGTGTCTTGATGGAAAATCTCTTCGTGGTTTATTTTCTCTAGACATAATTGGTTTCTTTTTTTTGATAATTCCCTTGTTTGATCCTGATGAGAAATTTCCAGAGAAACAGTGACGAAACGAATCATTTTATCCCTTTCAGAGAGGTGGTCACAGAGGTGTCAAACATACGGCCCGGGGGCCAGATCCGGCCCTCCAAGACCTTTAATCTGGCCCTCGGCTGATTTTCTTCTAAAATATTTTAATTATATTTTAAAACCTGAAGACAGAATTTGCACTGTTTCGCTCACCATTCACAGTCAAAACCTCTGATGTGCCGCAGACGTGCAACTAGAAATAACAGATTTACAGTTTCTACCTTTGTGAGCAGTAATGAACATTAATAAAACAAAGCTGCGCTCAAAGCTGCACACAAACACACAACACACAAGCACTTGAATGACATTCTGAAGATAACAGCTCCTCAGGACTTGGTGCCTGATGTTGATGCACTTGTGCAGGCTAAAAGATGCCGAGTTTCAAGAGCAAAAAAGAAAGCATGACTAAATTCTATGAAATGCAAACAAGTTCATGTGAAAACTTTGTGTTGAAATTACATTTTCCTTAAAGTTTCAGGTTGTTCATAATATTATAATATTTAGTAAAAGAAAGAGTTCATCAATTCAAAAAGATTTCTGTAATAGATTTGCGTTTCTTTTTACAAATATTTGAACTTATTGTTATTTTTGGGATATTTTCTGATCCGGCCCCTTTGGGATCAAAGTCGGTTGGATACGACCCCCGGACCAAAATGAGTTTGACTCTCCTGGTCTAGAACAACCAAATACACAACAAAACCTGCCCATGTTTCTCCGATGCTGCTGAAGTCAATGACATAGTGTTGCCCGGTGTCATGGCGGCATAGGTACCGTTACTATAGGGGTCACGTGACGGTGCAACGCCTCTATTGACCGCGTACTTATAAATATATATATTTTCGCGGGTTATACTCTTGCTTGTGTTTTTCCTGTCCGGATCTGCGGAGGAGGAGGAGGTCAGGGTTGCATGATTGTAAAGTGGACGCAGCCGTATCGAAACGCGCGAATCACTTCCAGTACAGTATTATACTTCGTCAGCATGCACATGTCTGCGCACAGTTTGTGAGTGAGTTTCGTTAAAAAGACGGTCCAGGGTTTTGTGGAGAGACGTTTTTGACACGAGGATCTTTTCTGTAGGTTTGGAACAGTCGGGTTTATTCACGCTCACGTCACGAACCAGGAAAACGTTCGGAAACACGCGACGGAGTTTAAGTCGCACCAGCCCAAAAATGCAAAATGAAGAAGAAAAAAAACACATAAGTCGCACTTTTTGGAGGGAAATTTATTCTCATGAAATCAGAGACCACAGTGTTTTCCACAGAGAATTGTTTAGGCAAAGCAGAGCTGCCGAAAAAGTGAGGAGAGGGAAGAGGTGCGCGGTGATTCCATGTGACGATCATAGATTTGCGAGGATTCGGAGGGGAGGTTTGGAGGGACGTACCGTATTTTTCAAACTATAAGTTGCACTTTTTTTCATTTTTTTGGGGTGTTTCCTAAGACTTATACTCCGGTGCGAGGTATATATTTACATTTTCAGACTGGCAGCCGCGAGAGGGCGATCTAGGCTTGTGTGTCAGTTTTCGGCGCATATCTCCTGCAGAAAGAGCCTCTGTCCTGCTGCAAGTCGTGAAATCTGCAGCTGAAAATGGTAATCGAGCAGCAGAAAGAAAGTTTGGAGTGAGACAGAAACTTATAAGGGACTGACGGAAAGCAGGGTTGAAGAACACAACTTCACGACAACCAGGAGGAAGCACCATGAAACTTTCACTATCTCACTATGGATTAATCATTCATGTTTTTATATTAAAATGATCATCATTATTATTACTATCTGCACTAATCTGCATAAATAAATTCAACTTTACGACATATAAACTTAACGACTCTAGATCCACATCAGCTGTTTGACATTATAATGTGTTTAATTCAGTTTTGTTCAAATCTCACAGAAACAAAACTTAAAACCACATCACTAATTTACATAAACTAAGTGAAGATAAAACTCCAGCTCTTGTGTCGCTGATGTGGTTCAACTTGTGTTGGATTAAAAGACATGACTCAGGTGAATACAGGTCAGTGTGACCAGATTTGTGTTTGTCAAAACCAGGACAGCGTACGGGGGGAGGGGGGCGGGGCCTCGTCATCCACATTGAGCGACTCTCACCTGGAAAAACTTTTTCCCACTGGACACAGAAACATATGTGCTGCTTTATCCACTGTGCACATGGACTCACACTTGTCCCAACGCAACGGAAAGTGTGGAATTTCTTCTACAAATCCTGGTTAAATCCACATTTGTGCTTCGGTTTGTGTTTGTGTCTCGCTCCTTCTGAGTGCAAAGACACATGTACGACCCCTGTTTGGTCACGTTACGCACAGCAACCTACATTCAGTTTGTCGATTAAAATTAACATAATCGATGAAATTCTTAATGATCAATTATCGATTAATCGACTAATCATGCCCATCCCTAGTCTGGACTTCAGTGACACCGAAGTTGCGGCAAGTTGTTCAGAAGTGACACCGAGGATGAAGAATTGAATGGATTTAGTGATTTGGAGTGAGATGGAGAGTT